TCATTTGCGATGTCAATCAGTATTCACCAAGTGATAAAATATTAATTAATGTTAACGAGAGCATTCCGCCTCAATTGCTCAGATTTTTAGAACATATTATTTATAAAGATAAGCATCATAATGAACAAAATTTTAATTGGTATTCAAAAAAAATTACATCTATTGCTCATGCAATAATGTCCTCCGCTCGACCTAAAAGTTTTATTTCTCCACTTCAACTTGCTACAGGTGCTACGCTCTACAGAAAATTTGGTTCGAAAAAGATGATTGAATTATGTTATAATCTTGGTTTTTCGTGCAGCTATGCTGAAGTTCAATTGTACGAAATTTCAGCTGCATGCCAAGACGAGAGACTTCTAAAAGAACCATTCCTTCAAATCGTTTCAGATAATAGTGATTTTAATGTTTGCACAATAGATGGACGAGGAACTTTTCACAATTTAGGATCGATTGAAATAATTACTCCTGCAGAATGTTTACAAGCAAGAAAACCCATTAAACGTTTGCGTAGTTCAGAAGTTCCTCTTGAATCAGAATTGGTGGAGAAAAACCGAATAGATATTCAATTATATACTAAAAAAACAGGAAGTGGTTTGGGTATCATTAAAGTTCAAAAAATTAGTCCTGAACCGAAATTTACAATAACCATAATCGATGTGCTGAATGTCTTATGGAGTTATTTCAAGTATGCAAGAGATCTCGATTTTTTGGGTTGGAATGGATTCATGTCTATGCTATGTGCAGAAAACACTAATTATAAAGTGTCTAAAATAAATTTCTTGCCATTTATTAATGGACCCCCAAGTGATTACAATACTTTATTCACAGCTTTAAACAATGCTGCTGCAATTGTTTCAAAAGAAGGCATGAAAACCTGCATCGTAACATTTGACCAGCCTTTATATATTAAGGCTTGTGATATTGCCGAGACTTTGGTTTTCGATGACGTGTTAATAGTTGTGCGACTCGGAGGTTTTCATCTCTTAATGTCTTTTATGGGATGCATTGGCACTATTATGGAAGGAAGTGGAATTAAGGAAATATTTTCGCTCATCTTTGCAGAAGGATCAGTTGATCAAATTCTAAATGGGCATTCGTATGCTCGTGCAGTGCGAGCTCATTTTATTCTGCCGCAGGCATTATCGCTTCTAATATTTGATGAATTAAAAAGAGAAAACAATGTTGAGTTTCAAGAATTACTTGATAATGAAGAGTATTTTACTTACGAAATGAATTTTGAGAAATTGAAGTCTAATGAGCACTTAAAAAAACTGAATGAAATATTTCAATCGAAACTGGATGAAATTGAAAACAGAGGAAAAACATGCAAACTGTGGATATTATACTATAAAATGGTATCTTTACTTAAAAAATTTCTTGCAGCTGAAAGAATGGGTGACTGGGAAGCGCATCTGAATTGTATTGAGCTTATGATACCTTTTTTTCACGCCGCTGGGCATTTCAACTATGCAAAATCTGCTCGACTTTATCTTCAAAAAATGAGACTTTTGAAATTAATTATGGATCCACGTGAGTTTAAAAAATTTACCAAGGAAGGATTTTTTACTTCCCGGAGGTCCAATGAGTTTTATGCTGGTATTTTCTCCGACCAAACCATTGAACAAACTCTGATGAGAGCAATGAGCGTAGAAGGTGGACCGTTCAAACGAGGCACTACGGAAAGCACTGTATTCAAATGGATCAAAGGTATCATATACACGAACGATGTAATTGAAGCATTAGAGAAATTTTGTGATATCGCATTTAATAAAAGCTACCAACATGTTGACGCGAGAGATGCGAGAATCAAAAAAGATAAGAAAGACGTGTTGGTTTTAAAAACATTTTTGTTGGAGCACAATCCATTTGAAGACATTGATCACCTAAAAAACATTGTAACAGGGTTGATCGGCACTGATGAGATAAATTGCTACAACGCTCTGGCGATTGGCATCGAAGCCATGAAGAGCATCGATGATATAACTTTTAATGACATAAAATTGTCCAAAAAAGATAAAGTTATCTCATTAATTGGTGTCAATAGCAAAGTCAAAATTGACGATAAAATTGTGCCTATAGATCCACTACTATTATTTCAACGTATTTGTATCATGAAAAAGAGTAACGAAGAGTTGGAGATGTACCTGAAATATGAACTGGCACCATATCCACTTTCATTATTTGACGATATTGGGATGCGAAAGACAAACAAATCTATCTTATACTCATTATTCGAAACCCAGGACATTGTGATCAACAAGGAAGCATCAGTGTACTTTATTGATGGAGGAATGTTATTATATAGAGTAAAATGGCCTTCGAAATGTAATTATGCAGACGTTTTTGACAGTTATATTTCATATTTAAAAAATCATTTTGGTAATAATATTACGGTAGTTTTTGATTGTTATGATAGAGAAAGTAATAAAGCATCAGAGAGAAATCGTCGAGCACTGAAAGTTGCTTCAAAGGAATACCAATTTACCAAAGATATGCCAGCCAATATTAGCCAAGATAAATTCTTATCGAATTATAAAAACAAAAGACGTTTTATTAAATTTCTTATGGAAGAATTGGAAAAAAAATCTATTAAATGCTGCCAAGGTGAAGGTGAAGCTGACGAACTAATTGTTGATACAGCAGTATCATTTAGTACTGACTTGACAAAAATAATTGTTGCAGAAGATGTTGACATTTTAGTGATTTTAACTGCCCGGGCTACAGAAGACGAAGAAATTTTATTTTTAAAATTAGGCAAACAAAGAGTGCAAACAGTAATATATTTATCGAAAAGTTTGGAAATAAAATACCCAAATAGTTCGAAATTTATTCTTTTTGCACATTCATTTACTGGGTGTGACTCAACTTCGGCGGCATATAATAAAGGCAAAAAAATATTTATGGATCTTTTGGAACGAAGGCAAGATTTGAGAAGTAAGGCAGAGATATTTTTGAATAATACATCTGAACTCGAAGATATTTTAGAGGCAGGTAGATATTGCATGGTATGTTTTTATGGACTTGCTAAAGATGCACAACAAAATAAGCTGAGTCGAGTAGAAAGCTTATCAGAATATCTCGAAAAGATGCGCTATGAAAGTTTTCTCAAAGCTGCTACGAAAAACACTGCCGTAAAATTATCATCCTTAGTTCCAACCGTTGGTGCCATAAATGAGCATACTAAGAGGGTTTATCTTCAAACCCAGATTTGGCTTGGCAACAAAAACATTCATCCAACGGATTGGGGGTGGGTCATGAATGACGGTTTATTGAATCCTATTAAGTCTGTAGATCCACCCGCACCACAAGAACTGCTGAAAATGATTTTTTGCAACTGCAAAAAAGGATGTGGAGCGTCTTGCGGATGCAGAAAAGTTGGTCTGTTTTGTAATAGTACCTGTGGAACGTGCAGTGGAGATAACTGCCAAAATAGCCCTCCAATTCAGCCAGAAGATGTTGAATGTGACAGCGACTCCGACATTGAGTCATGAATAATAATATTATATTTTAATAATAATATTACAATTTTATATAATTTATAAATATTTTATTCAATAAATGACAATTTTTTACTCTAAATTAAATTATTTTTAAATATGTAATCATATATATTTACTGTTTTAATTTAGGGGTAGTTTTAAGGGTAGAAAAGCTTAAGAATATGATAATCATTTTCGAGAGTGTGGAATAATATTTAAATCCTTTTCATTTTATCAAAAAAATTTTTTTAACAATTTTTTATCAAGGGGTAGTTTTCAAGGGTTGAAAGGGGGTTAAAAATTTGATAATTATTATAGAGAATATAAAATATTACTTACTCTATACTTACATCTTTTTATGTCATACCAAAGTATTTTTTTGTGATTTTTTCAATTTAGGGGTTGTTTGCAAGGGTTGTAAGATTTTCAAGGGGTTGAAAATGATTTTAATATGAGGTAATTATGTTAGAAAATACTTTACAATTTCACCACTTACTATTAGACATGTTTTCTAGCGATAAAATGGCTCAATGTCAATTTTTCCATTAAGGGGTTGTTTACACCCCTTAAAAATAATAGGCGGAGTTCAGATCATTTTCACTTTTGAAGTTAAGGGTAAGATGAGCCTAATTCCAAAATTGTATGCAATTCGGTTCACAGTAAAAAAATTCGGAGGTAAGACCGTATTTTTCGCTTCAATGACTGCACTAAGAGGGCTCCAGTAATTGTTTCGCTCGGATTAAGCAACTCATAATACACTACACCTAGCTGATCCCACCAAATACACAGCATAAGTTTTTTTCCGTGAATATTCGGTTTTGCTGTTGATGTTGACGCGTGGCCAGGTAATCCCCATGATTTTTTTCTTTTTGGATTGTCATAATGTATCCACTTCTCATCACCAGTTACGATACGATGTAAAAAACCCTTTTTTTTATGTCTAGCTAGCAGCATTTCACTTAAGCATAATCGGCGTTCAATATCTCTCGGCTTTAATTCGTACGGAACCCAATTTCCTTGTTTATGAATCATTCCTAATGATTTTAAACGATGTGAGACTGCTTGCTGAGTGACTTCTAATGTTAGAGCAAGTTCTTTTTATGTTTGAGATGAATCCTCCTCCAATTCTGCATCCTCGTAAATTTTTGGCCTTCCACTGCGATCTTTGTCTTCTACGTCGAAATCACCGTTTTTAAACTTTTGAAACCACTCTCGACACGTTCTCTCACTCAAAGCACCCTCACCATATGCTTCTACGAGCAATTGATGCGCCTTAGCAGCAGATTTCTTTAAATTAAAGAAGTAAATTAATATTTCCCGCAAATGACGCTTATTTGGCTCAAATTTTGACATTTTCAAGTTATAAAAATTATATTTTACCAATATCAAATCAATAATATTAATAGGTTATGTTGGTCTTGAATGTCGAAACTATTTTTTAAGCCGGTTATCATCTGCGAAAGCTAACCGAAACTCCGTGCCGCGCCATCCACAATAAAACGGCGGAAACTTATTTGTACTCCTAATAATATAAATGCTATTTGTAACTTATCTGAAACAGAAAAACTCGACCGCCAAATTTTACGTTTTCCTTACCTTTATAACCTTTTTCTCGGTTATTTTTTTTTAAATTTGCTATCTGTTTCATTTCAAGTTTTGTGCCTTGTGAGATTTTTTTATTAAAAATGCAATCTGATTTGTTTAATTTAATAAACATGAAAGACATTAAAACAATAAAAATATTAGAAATGTCACGTCAACCCAATAGACGTCGAGTTCGTTTGAATCCTTTTGTCGAATTATCGGATGAAGAGTTCAGACAGAAGTACCGATTTACCAAACGTTTTGCGGGAATAAGAGTGGATCTATTGAAAGAACATATAATATGCGATCACAGGGGAGGCTCTCTATCTCCAAAAATGCAAGTTGTTTGTGCGTTATGAAGGTGGGCTCGACATGAAGTAAGTACGCATGTGTAAACCTTGTAGCGGCATTTTAATCATTTGTGATAATTTCGAATCACATTTCGGACACTGCGGATTTGCATGGGGTATCGCAACCCTACATAAATAGGTCATGCAAAAAAGTAGCAGAAATCTTAGCACAGATGTCGCAAAGATTTCTGAAAATACCTCCTATATTAGAACAACAAGAAGAAACAATGAGGAATTTCCGCAGTATTTCAAACTTCCCTATGGTATAATAGGTGCAATAGACTGTACTCACATACGCATAAAGATAGTAAATAGTGATGGTGGTCTTCTGTACATTAATAGGAAAGGTTTTGCATCAATTAATGTGTAGATATTGTAAATTTTTATCATTATTACACATCAAAACCTTCAAAATGTGACAGCAGGTACTTCTGTATATTATTCAAAAACTATTTGTTTTAGGTTGTTTGCAATGCTGAGCTGAAATTAATGGATATTGTAACTAAGTGGCGGAGTAGTGTTCATGACTTACGGATTTTTAGCAAGTTTCGATTAAAACAGAGGTTTGAAGCTGGTGCATTCTCAGGACTTTTATTGGGAGATATTTACTCCATATTTATTTACACCCGCTCTAAACCTAGTCACTCACCAAGAAGAACGATATAACAGCGCCCATATACGGACAAGAAACACTAGAAAGATGTATTGGTTTGTGGAAGCAAAGGTTTTGTTGTTTGTTGAGGTTATAATAAAGATGTTTTATGTACCGGAATTGTGTTCTTGTTGTTTATCCAAAACAATCGTAAGTACAAGCACTGTACATAGTAAACAATGTAAAATGTGTTCAGAGTAGAATAAGAGTGGACTGTATAATATTGGCTGTTTTAATAATTGCTGGGTATAACAGTATATTTTGACAGGACGTTTTCCAGATTTACAAAGAATCAGTCCACCTCAGATTTATTGAACTTATATTCAATTGATGCTTGTCGCTTCTAGCTTTCTAATACGGATGTCGTTGGAAAAAGCCAGTTACAAAGTCTCTTCCCGCAGACTTCTTGGCTTCATTAAATCGATCTGTGACATCAAATTTTTCACCCTTAGCCTAACATACCTTACAAAACTGAGTCCTCGTCAGTACGTAAAATTTGTTTGACATTGTATGTAGATGATTAGCCAAAATGGATTCTTGTTCCTCAGTGAATACAGATAATCTTTCTAGTTTAGGAGGTCGTCTGTAGCTAGTATCGTTAGATTTAGCCAATCTGAATATTTTTTTAAGATGCTGTAGGGTATTCCAGTCTCTTTTAATACCTTTTGTACTGATGTACCGCCACTCTGAAGTTTTTTGACAGCATTTTCTAAGGTTTTAACGGTCCAAAACGTTTTCGTAGCGGTGCGTTCCCTTTTTCTTGCCATTTTAGCATCTAAAAAATAAAAATAGACCATATTGAAGGATATGGGATAATTGGAGCTACAAAGGGTAATCAGAGCCTAATAAGCTGTTTTTTTGTGTTTAACAACAAAGCACTTTGTGGGTACGTTTTTCCATTCTCGGACTTTTTGATTGTTAATGTTTTTTTTTTTACAACAGGGGGCAAACGAGCATGCGGCTCACCTGATGGTAAGTGACTACCGCCGCCCATGGTCACCCACAACACCTACGGCATTGCAGGTGTGCTGCCGGCCTTTTAAAAAGGAATATGCTAAAATGTTAGTCTTCGTGGACTTATTTTCTAAAATAGCGCTCGATTGTGCGACTAATTGATGAAGTATTTCCTAAAACATTAAAAATAACTTTAGTTATGCAACACAAATTTTTCCGGATCAAAGAAAGTGTTTAAACGTAGTAGTAGGTAATTAAATATTTACTTTCTCTTCAGAAGTCCAATTTACAAATCGTTTTTTATTTTGTTGGCCCATGTTTAATTAGTTTTGTAACAATTATACACAAAAGTAGAAAACTTTATAGAATTTTGTTACTCGCACGGGACGGGAATTCCCTAAACGAATTCCGTTTGACGTGCTTTATTCTATTCCATTTTATATACCCAAGAAAAGACAGCCAGATGTTAAACTTTCCCAGAAACAGAACGTTTATTATTGAATTGTCTTGTGAAGGAATAATTATCTATGGTAATTAATTGACCAAGGTTCAAGCTCCTAGTTTATGAAGTTGAGGTTTGGTCTATGTTTTGTAATACAATAAATTTAGGCTCTACGACCCAAAATGGATGTAACCGGCAGAATAAAGAATACCCAATTATTATTGAATTAGTAGACAAAAATTTTTGGTGTAGATTCTTCGAGGAATCCAGCAGGAAACGTTTTTGTTTTTTAATATTCTTACGAGTTATACACTCTTTCTTCCCAGCTGCACATCGGCTATTGCTATTATCTTCATAAAACTTGTCACTTTGTTCTTGTTGCCTTTCTTTGTTGACTTTGTACGATTGAATCCCATCTTTTTGTATGTTAAAGCTTTGCCTCCTAACCTCCATATTTTATACTTTTTGCTACAGAACCAGAGAGATTCGTTTTCAAATTATTTTTCCCCTAATATGTACTTGTATTCTTTTTTTCTTCTAAGACCAGAGGGAGACTTTGTACGAAAGTCGATTGCGTGGGTACCTCTGTCCCATTCGTATTTCAACCGTGAAGCAGTTGTGTTTGCATGGCTGTGTTTCGGTTTGAAGGGTGGGATATGGCGTGAATTTACTGGGTACAGAGGAATAACACCTGAGTCCTCAGGAATGGCAACGCATGGGGGGTATCATGGGCGAAACAGTATACTCTGTTATGTCCATGGTACTGCTCATGTCTATAGGCGACGGTTACCACTTTCCATCAGGTGGGCCGTCAGCTTGTTTGCCATTTTAAGTTGTATAAAAAAAAAAAAAAAAAAAAAGATTTTCATCAGAATAATTATACCAAACAGTGTTTTTTATCACTAATTCTACCTTCTTATTAGGGTCGTTCGTCATTTCTTCAATTTTGCTTCTGGGCGTGAGCGCCTTTTTTAATTTCTTAATAGCGTGTTTTAGTCTTTTGTTCTTCTGTCTTTCGTTAGCCAGTTTTTTTCTTTAATTCGGTAATAACATGGTTCTTCTTTTTTAGTTATTTATTTCTTGTCTTCTGTTGCAAAATACTTCTCCTTTTAGCTTCAGCTTTTCTTTAATCAGCAATACACAGAATGTCTATACCATTTGGTTTTTGCTCGTAATTTATTTCTACTGGAAGCTGAGGTTCGTTTTCTCCGTCAAATGATGGTGGCGTATTTTAATCTATGTATTGACGAGCATGTTTACCAACTATTTTACTTTGTCTGTAAGCTGCTGAGTAAGTGATCCAGTTTTTTTTACTTTTCTATGCTCACTAGGAGTCATGTCCTTAACACATTTTCTCTGTCCTTTTTCTGAGGTAAATATCTTTCTTTTTCTTTGTACTCTGCTTATAACACCGGATAATTTTTTATTTTTTCTCACCGTTTTTTTCTTTTCCTGTTCTGACTTTTTTTGCTTTTTCTTTTTTAGACAACGGTGTTTTCCTTCGAAGCGACATATATAACAAACAAAAGTTTCTAAATTGACGAATCTATTTGAAATAGTATGATCGTCAGTCCCTAGTGTTTGCATTAGTCCCTAGTCACAATTACGGCAAAAGCCTGATGGTCTAAGGATTGACGAATCAGAACTAAAAATTAGTCGTAATTTACTCTCAAAAAGAAACACCGAAACTTGGAGATAACAATATCATAAGACAAATCACTTATACACACAAAAAAGAGAATAACTAATTAACTTTTATAAAACAACTCACCTAGCGCCTGACAGATTTGCAGAGCACGTGTTTCCTCAGCATCGACACTGATCGCTCTAACTAATGTCAATATGGCCGACGCGGGACAGCCCACGCTTGTGGCTAACTTCATGTTAACAACTTTTGAATGCATTGGTTTTAAAACGCTTGCATATCTCGATTGCCGCGTTTTTTTTTAATTTACTGAGTGGTTAGGGCCTGACTATAATTATCGATGACACTACTTTTCTTACGAAAAAAATCTGAAAAATATTTAATATTGTTTACTAAATCGTTTCGGTCAACAGGGTATGTAATTTTTAATGTAGTTTAGTTGAATAAAGTTCAAATATCAACAAGGCGTACTTAAACCAATCGAACAAAAACAATATTTTAGAAATGTGACATGGCTAGGGACTGATATTGAGGATAAAAAGAACGGTTTTTGTTTATAAAAAATGTATGATTCTGGCATAAATACCAGACATTTATAATTTATATTATAAATTTATTAAAAATGACATCAAAACAAAATTACCGAACTTTTGTGGAACCACACATTTGAGGAATTTTATTACACAAGATCGGCTTTCAGCCCTTGCTATTCTTTCCATCGAAAATGACGTAGCTCATTTGTTAGATTATTGTACTTTAATTAAAGATTTTAGTCTAGTTTAGTAACGGAAGGTCTATTTTACTCCTGGCCTCCTTGAGAACTGTGCCGTAACCACCCTCTGCGGCCCTGGCTGCAGTGCGATGACCACTGCAGCAGTTCGGGGAGCGCGCAGTTTGGATGGATTGGGTGGCCCATTCTTCTTTGCCGGAGCCGAGGTCCCTTTCTTTTGCTCCTTTTGACACACCTGTCTTTCCAGGACACTGATCAGCTTGGCCTTGACAAAGTTTAAGTTTATTGAGCTCGTTCCAACAAATTCCACGGGCTTGAGGTGGTCGTCAACCACTTTGTCAAGGTCCCGTCGTAACGGGTTGCGCTCGGCGGAACAATTCAGCAACATCCTTTGCAGCGTGTAGCTTCGTTTCTTCTCTTTTGGTCTTGAGATACGTCTCCTTTGCTATGGCCAAGCCCACATATTCACCAGTATTTGGTGGACGTCCTCTCCCTCTCGGCGCGCTGGACTTCGCCGAGGATTTTCTCTCCGACAATCTGTTTCCGAAGGGGTCTGAGTCCGAGTCAGAGCTCGTGCTGGTCAGTAGTATTATTCGGTAAGCATCATTTCGAAACTCGATAGCTGAATCTGGAGTGAAATTATATCATAGCATTATGTAAAACTCGATTGCGACTGCAACGCCACAACGATTAGTACGGTGGCGGGATCAAACATTCAAAAGTGATATTTTGACGTTTGGTGCAGTCTACTGACATTCTGTAAGGGAATTTCCTACTCACTTCGATACTCACTTCACCCAAGACACACGATTCCATTTGTCAAATATAAAGTTCCTACGGAATGATCGAGATTTTATAAAAATATTATAAATTGTATTTAAACATAAGTTTTTTGGTTGCCTAATACATTAAAATGGCTAGATTATTTGTGTCGAGTTTATTAGAAGAAGCGAACTCTTTAGATTTATACAACAGCCGACGTCAAGCTCAACAAATTCGTGCAATGCGATTGTTTAATAGAAATAAGGATTATGTGAATGTGTACAGACTTTCAGAGGAATTAATAAATCATTTAAAAGAAGATATTAAATTTTTGATTAGGAAACCACAACGTCGCCACCGAGAGTTATCCGTTAGAATCAAGGTAAGATCCAGCTATCTATCTATTAGGTACCTAATTTAAATAATTTGAATAGTCAATAGGTACTAGATGCATTTAATTAGGTACTATGTTATGCTGCCAGTTATTTTCCATACAATCAAGTAATAATAAAAAGTATAGTAGATAAGCACATAATATGACTTATTTACTTATCTCTTTTCAGTTATTGTGCACATTGTCGTTCTTGGCGAGTGGCAGTTATCAAAGGATAATAGGGCAAAATATAAATACTTTTTTGTCCCTACCGTCTGTATCTCGCTGCATTTGCGAGGTAGTGGAGACATTAAATCATCCAACTATTATAAGTAAATATATAAAATTCCCACAGAATGCAGAGGAGAGGCTGGCATTAAAAGAACGGTTTGTAATATACCAATACTTTTGATAAAATAATATTTAATTCATAATCTATAACTATAAATAATATTGAATGCCTTTTATAATATCGAAATTTATAATATATGTTATGAATGTAATCTATGTTTGTGTTTCGGAACGCAACTTACGAGCTGTCAGTTTAGAATCGTTAGAAAATGTAACATGTCGTTCATTCAGTTAAAAATAAAATAAAATAGAAGCCTTAACAAATGAGATCCATTTCTCTAAACCTCAACAATATATGTTACTGTAAAAATTTGACGAATTTTTATAATTTTATTTGTCTGTTTTGTTAGGTAGGCAATATCTTTTTATTACATAGAAAAAATATTTTGTATTATTTTAGATTTTATGAAAAGTTTCCTGGAGTAATCGGGTGTGTGGATGGGACTTTTGTGAAAATAGTTAGACCCACAGAAAATGAAGACCGCTATTATTGTCGTGAAGGCAATCATGCTAGGAATGTTCAATTGGTATGAATAAAAATATTAAGTTATTCCTAAGTTAATCTAATTTAGAAACGTCGTAACATTTGTTCTAAATTAAGTGAATTTATATAATTCTTGGAAACTTGGAAATAATAAGACTTAAAAACAGATATTAATTATATACTATTATTGATAGCTTAGATATCAGAATGTCATTTACCTAAAATGATATATACGCCGACGAAGTTGTCGGCAGTCGCTAGTAAGTATAATAATAGGCATGATGACAAATTTTGAGAAACTGTTCTATAATATTTGGAAATATATATGAATTATAATAAACATAATATTTCTGCGGAAAATTTAGGTTTAGTACTTAAAAAATAATTTTTGATTCATAAATTTAAAATTTGCACCAAAACGCGTCAAAGTGTCATGGCGTCGCTTGCTTACGTCACTTTAGAGTACAAGGAACATTCGGTATATGTAAACATTATCTAATTCATATTTAATTTGGACATTTTACTAGTTTTTACATTAAAAACATGACTTCGAAAGCATATAGGTGGTGTTCCGTCCCTCTGTGTACTAATACGTCCATAAAAACTCCTGAGAAGTTATTTATTTTCGTTCCTTTCGATAAGAAATTAAGAAAGAAGTGGCTTGAACTTGCAAGACGTGATTTGGAAGGAATATTACCCACTACACAGATTTATTTTTGTGAAGTTCACTTTGACGTAAGTATTTCCTTTTTTATTTTGTAGAATTTTGTTGCTAAATTCATTATAAGCTAATTTTATGGGAAGAAGTAAACATTGATATACAAACTTTTTGGAGGTTATGATTCTCTTACTCACTGTTACTTTATTGTAATCAAATCCTCAATGAATGAGCTATTAAAAAGGTATTTTATTTCATTTTCAGTTACCAAATGATATGGCAAACTACATGGAGTATCATGTGATGGGGTCAGTGTCGCAGATTCGCATGAAACCTGGGTGCGTTCCCTCAAAATTTGAATGCCAACCTGACAGAAGAAAACGAACTTCCGACTCAAACGAAAGGAAATATAGTGCGAAAAAGCAAAGAAGAGAAGTCATTGCAGAAGTTGAGCAAGAATTACAAAATAAAACAACTACAACTTGTTCTGTTGCAACAGAACAGCTAGAACTTGAAGACCCAACCCCCGGAACATCAGCCATGCAGGAAAGTACTACAAAAGATGCACCTAAGATGGTAAATAAATCCATTCAAGTGTATATAACAAATAAGTTCAGAAGTAAAGCTGTTCAAACAGAAATAAAATCAGTAGATCAGATGACTTCACCATCGAAACCCTTTTGTCGTTCTGCTTTTACTTCACCATTTAAAATCACAAGTACCAAGCAATCCATATCCACCATACAAAAATGTTCCAAGAAAATAGGATTTCAGGCAGATTCTGACAGTGATATTTCATACACACCATCTGTAGCACATAGTGAATCACCATCAGTGACATCTTTAAAAATTAAATCGTCTTCAGACTGCAGTGAATTAATTGAAGACGATAAGAAACAAGAGGCATCAAGAATCTTGGCATATACATTGCAGAAAATAAAAAAGAACCCACGGTCTTACATTGGAGTTCCTAACAGTTGTTACTACCTTATAGATTTAATTGAAAAAAAGTTAAATATTCCCACACACCATATAATAATGTGCTTGAAAAAAATTAAATTAAATAGTAGTTTCAGAGAGCTTTCTGATGATTTTCTATTGATCCGACATATGCCAGCAAGATATTTCTGAAAAATATACCACTAATAGCTAGTTTGATGCGACCTTTTCTTGTTGTCTTAGATAAAGATTCCATAAGAAAAAATTTGCCTATGGCCTTTAGGCATAAATATTACAATGTAACTTGTATTATAGACTGCTTAGAAATTGAGATAGAAAAGCCTTCAAAAGCAGTGAACCAGGCTCTCTCCTGGTCAGAATACAAAAAAGCTAATACGATAAAGTATCTTGTGTCTTGTACTCCTAATGGACTAATCAATTATATTTCTCCAGGATATGGAGGAAGAATTACTGACACATTGTTGGTCGAATCTTGTGATTTTATAAAGTGTTTGCAACCAGGTATGTGTGTGATGGCTGACAGAGGTTTCAAACATGTAGAACAATATTTAAGAAAACAGGGAGTGCACTTAGTACGACCTCCAAGTGTTGCAACTGGTACAAAGCTATCAAAACATGAGGCAAGGGAAACAAAACAAATTGCAAGCTTAAGGATTCATGTGGAGAGAGTGATTAGACGCTTACGTGAATTCTGTATGTTAAAGCCGCATGCATGTGTAAATGTTAATTTAGTCAAATTGCCAGATGATGTTATAACCATTGCCTGTGGATTGATTAACTTACAAGATTCTTTGATCAAATAAATATACATGTTTGTTTGATCAAAGAATCTTGTAAGATCAAATCAATCAGCTTGATCAAGAATATATGTCAGTTCAGTTTCAGAATAATGTTAGATTCAGTTTCTGAAATCCTGTTTGACTGTACAATTTTGAGTGCAAGTTATTGTATTATGCAGATAATTAAACAAAGAATCAGTATTATTTCGAAGTTCATTGTTACTTTGCTTAAACTCATTTGTTTAATATGTTACAATGTTTTTGTAAAGCGATTTTTCTTTCTTTCTTGCTTTTCTTACATATAACAATGACCTACTGTTTATATATATTTATTTTGTTAATCCATACATACTTACCAATATCCAATATTAAGTTTCAACCAGTTTAAGTACAGAAATACAGATAGCTTTATTGTACTGTAATTACTTGATTAAAGTCACTACGGTTATGTATGGAAATGACTATAACTTAGCTCTGTACTATTATAATAATACTAGCTGACCCGGCAAACGTCGTTCCGCCCAGTAATCAATCCTACACCTACCCTACGGGATAAAAAGTCTCCTATGTCTTTCTCCTGGCTCTAAACTACTTCCCTGCCAATTTTCAGCTAAATCGGTTCAGCCGTTCTTGAGTTATAAGTGGAGTAACTAATATGACTTTCTTTTATATATATAGATATTCATAAACTTGTGTTATGGGATACTAACTAAACAATAATATATTTTATAACATATACATATACTAGCTGACTCTGCCACACATTTCTGTGGCTCATTATACCTATATGTTTAATTTACAATAATAAATACTGAAAACATTATCTTTTAAGTTAGTCCATATTACAAATGGTAACAAAAATTTATCAAAATCTGTTCAGTAGTTTAGGAGTCCATCATGGATAAGCAATGTGACATGTAAGTTTTATACATACAAAGATAGATAAACACCCAAGACCCCGGTCAATCTGAAAAAGATCATTTTCCATCTTGACCTGGCCGGGGATTGAACCCGGGTCACTCTGTGTAGTTGTGTACCACTGTACCACAGAGCTAGTCTAACATAAAACATTGATATAAGTGAATGTAAATGAATATTTATATAGTGTTGTAAATTAGTATGTAATGTGTGAAGATCATCTGAGGTTTATCCTACAAATAAAAACATTTTTACATAAACTGGTTTTTATTTATAACATTACACTTTTATATAACACTGGATATACATTATCCTTCCACAAAGGGACTATTACCTTAAGAAAATCTGATACATATTTTTCATCATACATAATTTCCATATCTATTTTCTTATTGGCACTGTAGTTGCAGTCAGCTACACAGAAGTAGCCTTTTTTATGTCCTGTTAGTAACATTTGAAGTTGCATTTGCACATAAAACTTTTGGGTTGGCTTCCCATTCTTTACATATACTTTAACTGTTTTTTGACTCATAGGACACTTAATTTCTATTATACTTTTTTCACAGATCCCATCAGGTGAACCCGCTAGCATGGGATAATTTTTAGATAAGAATAACCCACATTTTCTAATTTTCTTTTCCAGGTTGGCACTTACAGTTTTCCTCACTTCATCCTCCAAAATTCTACCACGTTTCATAGCTGTTGTGTCTGGAATTTTTCCACCCATTATTACTGCCATCAGAGTGCCGTCACTGGTTTTACACCTACTGAATTCATATGCTCTTGAAGCGGTCACTCTGCCATACCTTAATTCATACCAAAGCTTACTTTTATGTTGCTCCCTTGTTTCTTCTTCTACATTGTTGATGTCATCATCAGAAAATATCACACTATCCAAAAATTTATCACAACAGTTTTCTTTATATTTCAACACTAAATTGTCCATTGATAGACTTAGAAGTCTATCAAAAACATAGTCCTTTTGGTATTTCATTAATTCACAGTCGGTTAACCTTCTTCTCTTCCTTTCTTCTACAAACTTTTCGAATACTTCGGTATCATATGGTAAGCTAGGGCTACCCTTAGATAATTCCTTAGCAGTTATGTATTTAAGGGTACTCCCAACTCTAGAAAGTTTGGATTTCCTCCAATAGCATTCTATGGATGTGCAAGATGGATCTTCACTTCTGCGATGAACCCACATTAAGAATGCCATGGCATGTTTGCAGCCTCCTTGAGAAGCCACACAATCATGACATTCTACTGACTTAACTGTTTCTTCTTGTTCGTCGACTACCAAAGACACTCCATACAACTTGGCATGCACTTTATGTTCTGGGCAGATTTTAGCTTTTATTGTGCACAAATTTCCTTCACGTTTGACCTGAACATAGCTTAAAGCATCATCACCATAAGATGCCCTAGCAGACCTGAAATAATTAAAGCAATGGTAAATATTTAATTGCAAAAAGAAATATTTAACATAAACATAACCTCAAATTGTAATATTGAATGTTATACTGAAATAGGTACAATAGCTATGCTTTCAACGAATTATTTTTATGGTTTAAATAATTAATTAACTGTTTGATACACAATACTTACATGGAAGTTTTAACATTTCTAAATTCTGCTGAACAAAAGTCTTTGTTTGATGCCAGAAACGTTCCTAGCATTATCAAGTCGATTCTTGGTAAATTTGCGCTGGAAGCCTTTGTAAATCCTTGTTCCATGACTCAATTTAGCGTAATCAATTTACACAAAAGAAATTGAAGTTAATAACAAAACAATAACGGCGTATTTAATAAAAAAGCGAGCGAGTGTGTATTATCTTAAGTAATTCAAATGTAAACAAAGAGAAAGAACTCTAACGTGACGTCATGCGCTCTGATTGGCGTTCAACATTTCATGGCGGATTGCCGTATTTAGCGATTTTATTTTATCGATTATTATATTCATCTTGCTTTTAATTATGAAAAGAATCAGAGTTTTAGAATTAGGAATTTTGTAATAATATACACACAAATAATTTCAATGAAATTTACTTGTTGTCATCATGTCTATTATATGCAGATTTTTATCTTTCAGTACACAGATGCGGATCTCAATATGTAGACGCTACTTATGGTGGTGCCACACACGACAGTTTTATCTTTGATAATAGTGATATAAAAAACCATTTAGAAGAATTGGTAGGTGCTGGTAAAACTGTATATTTACTTGGTGAGATCAAATAAATAAAGTTGATTCTAACTTCTGTCTAATGATAAAGATTTGACCTAACCGGTTTTAATGTTTGTTGTAGGAGATCCAGGATATGCTCAACGGTCTTATTTGATGACTCCTATTCCTAACGCTGTTGAGGGTACACCTGAAGAACATTACAATAAACTATAAGCAACAACACGTAACACAGTCGAACGAACTATTGGTAGACTTAAGGGACGTTTTAGATGTTTGCTTGTGCACCACGGTTACCATCCTGATACAGCCGGAAAAATAGTGATAGCATGTTGTGTCCTGCACAACATTTACAATAGAGCTGGTTTACCTGCACCGACTCTAGATAGTCATGATGAGGAGGAAGAAGCAAATTTTCGTGCAACTGCACGCGTCTCAGCGGGTCGTTGCCATCGACCCACTCTCAGAGCGAGTTGGCAATGGGTCAATCAAGCAGAGATATGCTAGTAAATCAGTTATGGCGTTCTCTTAGGGAGTAAATATATATATTTACTATAACAAACATTTTGTCACAAAACAATAAAAATAAAAGACCTTGTTTTTCTCAACATTTTATTTTTTAATGCTTCGGTTAACAATTTTAAACCATCCCCTACAGCCAGCAATCTCTGGCTAACCTCATGACTCCTATCTTGGTCTCGCTGCAAGAGTTCCCTCATTAGTCTAGCCATATTTTCTGATACAGCTACACTTCTGCTATCTAATTCTAATCGCTGCTCCTCCACTCTCAGGAAGCGCTCAGTGAGGCTGGTAAGCTGCGACCGCCTCTGAGAAGGTGGAGACGCAGGTGTAGGTATCAATCGCCGCCTACGGCGTGGAGCTGTAAAAGAATAGTTATTATGAAATTCTTACTGCTGAACTTACAACATGGGGAATTATTATGCTACAATATATAAATTATCATATATGCACATTTCATTTTATAAATATAGAACAAAAATTAAGAATGATTTCACAAGACTATTTGTAATCTATATAAGATATTTTTTAGCATTATAGAGTAGTTTCAAAAATTTAAATAATAGTCTCGCAATGATTCTGTAATAACTTTGATAGTCCAACAGTCGGGATAGTTATACGGTCCATTATAAAAAAAAAAAAAAACAAAAATTAACATTAGTATTGACAGCAAAGTAAACAATTACTTTACTACAGGGAGACATCGTATAAGTCATTTGCATGGGCACCTATCTACCATATGTTTTACTCGTCTTCCTACCGCCAAAATAACTGTGATTGCAGTGTAATTAAAGGTATAGGATAAAACAAAACATAACAATTATGTCCTTAGAAATAACAATGTAAGAGGAGTACCACGGACATCACAGTTCATTGTGTGACGGTTGCCACTCAGATCAATAAGATAGATCCTCATTTGCCATTCTAAGTTCTATAAAAAAAAATAGCTCGTATTCTAAATTACTTGTTCGTCGTGGTGATTGCGTGCGGCGAACTGGCGAGTTGAACTCTTGAAGTTGTGGGGGCGTGTTGGAGATCTTGAGGTTGTGGGGCCGAGGGTGGCAGGATATCAACATCGGCTGTTACTCGAGTCACTGATACCTAAACAACAAAAACAAGATTGTACTTGTAAATGGTTTACGCATGGTTGTACCTTGTAGAAAAATATTAACTTTTATGGTACTTACAGAAATAACAAGGCTTGGTCTATCACTTAAATATGACGCTCCAGCAACACAAACTGGATTCGCCTCGGAATACTGGAAGAAGTTAATATTTAAGTTCAAAATAGTCTTTATTATCACATTTAATAAAATATAATAAGTATTGTTATAAAATTTAATTTAACATACCAATGATATGGGAATATTAATATTTGTTGCTTCCAAGATATTAGTTGTAGAGGCCTCCTGAAAATATATTCAATACTTTAATAAATATTTATTTAAACGAGGCAGGCTTTATACTAAAAAGTCGTCTGCGTAGATACCTCTGCCCCTTGTGTTTCTGTCGCCAAGAAACTATTCTTACAGAACTGAGTTTCGTTGAAGAGCGGGATTAGCTCTATAATTACAGGAGTATGGAGGCGTAATATTTTAAGCCTTAGGTATAGCAAAGCATGAAAAGTACCATGGACGTTACAGTGTAATCTGTGATGTCCATGGTGCTATGTCGGTTACCACTTTCCATCAGGTGAGCCGTCAGATTGTTTACTATTCGAATTTGTATAAAAAATGTACTATCAAATATTAAAATTATTAATATTCATATACATACTCACTGGAATATCAACTATCTGCGTATCCTGTGTTGAAGGAAACTGGACATTCTGAGGTGTAGATTGTTCTCCCTGAAAATTAGGTAATAGACAGAAGAGTAGTAAAATTGGTAAATGTTGTTGAAATAAGGTCTTAAATATACTGATTATTGTTATAATGTCATTATCTATTATTTTATCTATGGTTTCTTTGTTCGAATTTAATATCCAATGAGTTTATGGTCCACAAATATTTTTCTTACAGTGGCAAAATATTTTAATAAGCGAATATTAAATTCTTATTATCTAGATCTTATTGGTTCAACCTAATAAAACCCCTCTCTTGAACTTGCCAGACAATAACATATTGTATTAACAGACTGGTACTCACTGGAAAAAGGTTAACTGCTATATGCCTATCACCTTCTGCAAAGCCATCACCACCTATTAAAGTGAGGATGCGCTCCTCCTGTTCACTAGGATCCACCACCTCCTCAATACCGCCACCAGTCTTACATCGCGCCGCAGAGCGAAGTGCAGTTTTTTTTTCACTGCACTTTTTTTAAAGTCTTTTAACTTAATAAATAAATATTCCTGGACACTTCACACAACGCCATCTAGTCCCAAACTAAGCAGTGCTTGTATTATGGGTACTAAAGAACTGATATAAATACTTAAATATTTTTTTTTTGTAAATACATACATAAATATACATAGAGAACACCCAGACCAATACAAACACACATGCTTATGAACATAAATGTTTGTATTGTGCGGGGATCGAACCCGCGACCACCAGTAGTGAGGCGAGTGTTAAACCGCTACACCACCAAGGTTTTAACTTAAATAAACTAAATATAATATCCACACAAAATGACGCAAAAACATACACACATGCTTAGGAACAAATGATTCTATTACACGAAATACTTTAGTAATTTTACTCCACTAACCTTTGTCCACTGTTTCCAGGATTTCACACTTCCTCCTATACTATTCAACGTCATCGTCAATCTCTCCCATTTCTTTCTTGTCGCATCTCGAGCACTAGGTACTTTGGAAAACTCCTTAGCCAGGCTGGGATTTCCCTCCAGAAAGGCTAATAGAGTTTCTATTTGGGCTCGAGAGGGATGTGCAGACCGTCCAATAGGACTAAAAAAAATTTACCACTTAGAAATACAACATTTTCTGTAAATATAAAAATACATTAAATTATGTGTATTATAACTTCATTTTTTCTTCCACTTCTTTCAAAACACAAATGTTGAATGCACTAAACTTACTGATACTCAACATGTTAACTTTTTGTATTCAATAGGTACTGTTACGGGGTAGGTCAGATGAGACTTTTTAAAAAGAAAATTATTTTATTTAACACGAGTCTTTATTATAAAAATTTGTAAAGCGTCTTGTTCGTCTGAGGTTCAAATCCGGTCTGAATTAAAAAATATCGAAAAATCGCTGGAAATGGATGGTATGACGCATACATTATTGTTAACCGTTGACTGTTTCGAAAATGCAGTTCAGCACTTTTATATTCGTATATTGTACATAGCCACGGCTATATAACAACGTAGCAAAGTTAAAGTTTAAACATAGTTAAAACATTCGTAATAAAACATAAATAGAAAACTAAATGAACTAGTGTAATTAACAGTTGGTAATAACTAAACTATTATTTATGCAAGAGTTACATTCAAAATTATTAGAAGTAAGTGAATACTAAGAATAGACAAATAGTAAAATTAAGCTGAACCAGTGACCCAGTGATTCTATAATATCTAACTATTTAACTAAATATAATGTTGTTTTTATTTAATTCTGATACTGGGATGGAGTTGGATGCTGGATCTCTTCTTCTTCTTTTTGGAGTTCTTCGGTATCTGAAGAGTCGGCTATTTTATTTGCTTTATCAATAGTGCTTACAACTTGTATAGGTTGTTTAGAACCAGACTGTTTATTGCTACAGTTATTAAATATTTGAACAAAATAACGTAACGAATCTCGTTTACACATAAATTTTCTACTCTTATATAATAGAATGATAATAGATGTAATAGAAATATAACTTAAACAACATAACTTACAGATATATATTGAACACTATATTTTTGGAAATGTGTAAGATTTTCTAACTTGTCTAATTCCTTTTCGAAACTGTCTAGATGAACACTAGCATACAAAAACGAGTCGAAATTATGAACATTATTTAATTTTACGAAAGGCAATTTCGATAAGGTTTTATTTAGTTTATTCTCTTCGCAACAGTCATCTTCGATGAGGTTGAAATTTGAAATTTCAGTAGTAGCGCTTACATTTAACCTTATGCTATTCTTATACATAAACTGAAGAGTTTTGAAAAATGCTTTACAATTTTCTTCTAACTTGAATATACTTATACCAAGCAGTAATTCATTATAATTATTGGAATTATTGTCACAGGCAATGTGGCATTTCCCGGGTTCCGATTGGACATAGATCCATCGATTGTCACTTATTCTATGAAACGTGTCTATGTTACCCTTTAAAAGTTTCACTTCATAAGAGTTTGGCAATTTACTCACTACTTCCGTTATCAACACTATTTCGCACATTGGCTGCGCAATAGTAGAAAACACGTTGTTTAAATCACACACATAATATTTATCACTTATTAGCTTACACTTGGAAACATCGTCAACAAATGAATAAAACAAATGATCAGCTGTTATTGTCACATAACGAGCAGTTGGCGCGATTAGCGCATAGTTGTCAGGTTTTGAGATATCATACGGCACTGGAATCGGTATTACATGGTAAAGATTATAAAGCTGAGGAAGGACGAGCGTTATTTTTATAACTACAATAATTCTACTGTTATGATAATAACAAGCTAGTTTAGATGCATCTATGATATCATGTATATTTTGTAGTAATAAGGATACAGGGAGTTCGCAATGCTTAGGCAAGTTATTTGTATTGCGTTCGAGCTCATTATACATATGATGTGGACTTAGTACAGTCGGATGCAGAATATTCATTTTGCTAAATAGTATTGCGTTATTAATATCTTCTATATCGAACGACAATGTAATAATTATGCTTTTAAAGCAATTTAACGTAGAATTTAAGTGGGTTTTTATTTCTAGCTTATCATTAGAATTTGTAATTTGTTCGAACATTTTGTTAATAATATCAAAATTTTTATTTAACCTATTTTCGTTTTCAGTGACTTTGTACAATGTGTCATTAAAGGTAGATACTGTAGACTTTATAACATGAATATTTTCTTTTATTAAATGAGCTAATTGTTTTTCGTCTGACTGTACATCATCGATAGCTTCTGAGAATTTAATAGCGTCCTTCGAATCTAATGTTCCGAACAAGGATTTGAGTAATGATCCACCTGCATCTATCAGTACCTATGTGTATCGCTAGATCGTAAAACCACTTAGTCCTCTCCACTTAAAGTTCTTGTTCTTGGAATCACAACACAAAGTTTACCAAACAAAATAAACTTTACAGCGAAGTGCATGATAGAAGTTCTAAAAGATATGTTTCAACGAAAAAGTGTAATCACTATTATACACTTACGCGGTAGACTACTAACTCTAAAACAAAATGTTAATGAGAAACTTGAAGATTACTTTCATAAATTTGATAATTTAGTACTAGAATTAGAATGTACGCAGGAAATACTCTACGAAAGAGATAAAATAGCATGTTTATTGACCGAATTTGACAAAAAATATGATACCGTAATTATTGAATGTAACAAAGATATGGCCAGTATGACAACTGAAGTAAAATTGGATTTCGTAAAAGCAAAGCTGTTGAAAGCTGAGATATATCATGAAAATAACATCAAATGAGTAATCGACTCAGGTTGTACGCACCATCTGATCAGCGACAGATATGACAAATATACAAAATTTAGATGCACCTATGAAAATCTATATTGCAAATGATGACTAATAAAAAAAGGATTTATCTACATCTACATCTATACTAATATTATAAAGAGAAAAGATTTGTATTTTGTGTGTGTATATTTGTAATAAATAAACTCAAAAACTACTTTTCCGATTTCAAAAATTTTTTCACCTTCAGAAAGCTACATTCACCCTGAGTAACATGGGCAATATTTATGATTACATGTGGAGATTTGTTTACACCAGGTGTACAAGGAAACAGCTTTACTGTTGCTAGTGATCTTATGTGGATGTAATACTTTTAATACATTAATAATTGCGTTAGTAGATAAGTTTATGTAAATGTGACTGTGGGGTATTTATGGTAAACAAGCCCATATTACTTTTAAGCAGACATTTTGTGTCTTCCTTTATTATAAATTTTATTATAGTAAGCAAGCTGATAATAACAACTCTTTGTATATTACTGGTTTTTAATAATATTTAATTATGTTAATATTATAAGTGTGGATTTAGTTTCTAATGGTAATAAAAGTATCAAAAGATTCTCTGATGATAGTACTTTTAACTAGGTATGAGGTTCAGTATAAAATCTGTACTGAATGACAAATGTGAGAGATGTATTTTACTCATATTTAGGAAGGAAGTTGTCATGGTGATAAGATTTGTATGTGTGTTGTTTGTTCATGTTATTTTGACTAGACAAATTCGGACAGGGTTAATATTAGTAAATCTTTATTAGATTTATATTTAATATACATATTTTGAATACTTTGTGGGAGTTGAATGGAGATATACAAGTGGTCAAATATAATATTAGTATCTTACAAATTTAATTATTGAGTTAGATGTATGTGTTGGGCTGTATTCAAGGGGATATGATCTTATTAATATCAGGTTAGGATAATTACTTTAGATAATAATAAAGCAAATACTAACACTGATTATTCACTTCTTTAATAAATTTACTTTAGAGGTTGGAAATCAAATAGATAGCATATTAGGAAACTCTTCATTACACATGTATTTGAGGAATGTTCTTGATGATTAGTATTATTTATATGTATATGTTATTGCAAGTATAATTGTAATAAGTATGGTAAACTTCCTTGGTTTTCAGTTCATTCTTGAATTTGAGAGTTAGCTTGGCTACTGATATGGATATATCTCTTAACATCTCTAAAAAAGAGCGCTCCTGGCCGTAAAAAACACCAAAAATCAAAGTGTGCGGAAAATTTTTGAGAATATAGTCGTGCGTAGTGTCAAAAGACGCGCAATAAAAAGACGAACACAGTGCACAAAAAATTTTCGAGAAAAGTGAAAAATTGTGGATTATATATTAGGAGTACAAATAAGTTTCCGCCGTTTTATTGTGGATGGCGCGGCACGGAGTTTCGGTTAGCTTTCGCAGATGATAACCGGCTTAAAAAATAGTTTCGACATTCAAGACCAACATAACCTATTAATATTATTGATTTGATATTGGTAAAATATAATTTTTATAACTTGAAAATGTCAAAATTTGAGCCAAATAAGCGTCATTTGCGGGAAATATTAATTTACTTCTTTAATTTAAAGAAATCTGCTGCTAAGGCGCATCAATTGCTCGTAGAAGCATATGGTGAGGGTGCTTTGAGTGAGAGAACGTGTCGAGAGTGGTTTCAAAAGTTTAAAAACGGTGATTTCGACGTAGAAGACAAAGATCGCAGTGGAAGGCCAAAAATTTACGAGGATGCAGAATTGGAGGAATTATTGGAGGAGGATTCATCTCAAACACAAAAAGAACTTGCTCTAACATTAGAAGTCACTCAGCAAGCAGTCTCACATCGTTTAAAATCATTAGGAATGATTCATAAACAAGGAAATTGGGTTCCGTACGAATTAAAGCCGAGAGATATTGAACGCCGATTATGCTTAAGTGAAATGCTGCTAGCTAGACATAAAAAAAAGGGTTTTTTACATCGTATCGTAACTGGTGATGAGAAGTGGATACATTATGACAATCCAAAAAGAAAAAAATCATGGGGATTACCTGGCCACGCGTCAACATCAACAGCAAAACCGAATATTCACGGAAAAAAACTTATGCTGTGTATTTGGTGGGATCAGCTAGGTGTAGTGTATTATGAGTTGCTTAATCCGAGCGAAACAATTACTGGAGCCCTCTATCGAACACAATTGATGAGATTGAGCCGAGCTCTGAAAGAAAAACGCCCTCAATACTAGACACGAAAAAATTATTCTTCTGCATGACAATGCTCGTCCACATGTTGCGGCTCCCGTAAAAAAGTACTTGGAAACACTTGATTGGGAAGTGTTACCCCACCCGCCGTATTCACCAGACATTGCACCGTCCGATTATCACCTGTTTCGGTCCATGGCACATGCTCTGACGACGCAGCGGTTTACATCTTATGAGGATACCAAAAATTGGGTTGATTCGTGGATAGCCTCAAAAGACAAGGAGTTCTTCAGACGTGGAATTCGAATGCTGCCTGAGAGATGGGAAAAAGTGGTTGCAAGTGATGGGCAATATTTTATATAAATCTATATTACCGTTCTTCTATAATAAATATTTAATTTGTGTTAAAAAACGGCGGAAACTTATTTGTACTCCTAATAGTTTATTTTTATATATATCTTGTCTTGTGTAATAGTAACTGTAAACATGTACCATGCGCTAGCCATAGTTTAAATTTAATAGTAAACGACGCAACTAATCTCAATCATCATACAACTGGATTTTTTAGTATTGTGCAACAATTATATAAATATTTTTCATTCTCTACCAAAAGATGGGATTTATTAAAAAAATATGTCATAAATCTGACCTTAAAACCATTGTCTGAAACAAGATGGTCAAGCAGAATAAATGCTATCAAGCCGCTGTTTACAAATTTGCCAGAAATTTATGATGCCTTATATGAAATATCAAATGGTATATCATATGACCAGAAGGCAAAATATGACGCTGAATGTCTAGCAGAAAAAATATGCTCCTTTCCATTCATTTATTCACTAAATATATGGCATATAATATTGATAAAAGTAAATTTTGTGAGTAAAATTCTACAGACCATCGATATGAATATGCAAGTTGCTTTAGATGCTTAAACCGAGTTAAAGAAGTTTTTGATAAAAATTAGAAACGACGCAAGTTTTGACGAAATTGTAAATGTTGCCATGAAAATTGCTCAAAAATTAGATGTCGAGGCTGAATTCGAATCTTCCAGAAAAAAATTTTTCTTTTACTTACATCTCCTAACTAGGCTTACCACTAATATCTAGATGGGTCTTTTAACAAGAAGGTTTTAATTTAAACGATTGAAACCTCCTTGTTAAAAGGCTATAGCAGTAGATACATAACATTATATATATATATATATATATATATATATATATATATATATATATCTATGTCACACAGCAGTTTTAATGTGTTGTTATAATTTATCGAAAATGTAAACTAAATAATATAAATAAAAATGTGTCGACTTTTATGCACATTTGAATTAATTAGCAACACTGAAACGACGATAGCGGCACCCATTAGTTCACAGATAAGTTAGTGATACTGTAATGATATTTCGCGCTATATTGCCTGTCAACGATAAGGCACTCTTTAAAAAAAATATTTATATTTTCTCTGAATTAATTTGTATGTATTTGAATTATTTATTTAAAAAGAAAGTATATATTGTGAGCATGTGGAAGAATAGAAGAAAACGTAAAAAACCTTTATCTTCTTTTTTACAGACACTATACCAACTAGGGCAAAGACGAAGCAACGAAGACTGAATAGGTCTCCAGAAGGAAGGGTCTTATCACCTTGGGGTATACATACAATTATTAGAGACAATATATTGCTGAGTTTTGCTACTGAATCTGCGCAAACCTGGGAAACTTCAAAGAATTACATTGCATGATTACTTGGAAAATGACCCAAATACTTCTGAAAAATATGAAGAATTCGATCGGACGCTATGTGCATCTGAGCGAGTTCTAGTAAAAACATTTAAACGAATTGTTGTTAGAGGCAAACGAGGACGTGGGGTTCCCGTGTTATTTAATAAAGAAGTTCAAGATGATATAAAACTTTTGCTTACAATAAGGGATAAATTTGTTTCTACAACAAATAAATTACTGTTATACAGATACAGGTTTTGAGAACTCGATATATGCTTTTGAAAAGGTACTCGAGATTATCTGGAGCAAAAAATCCGAAAGCAATTTCTTCCACGAGACTAAGAAAACATTCAGCGACGCATCACAAATATTTAGCATGTTTGAAAATGATCTGGAATAATTAGCTGCATTCATGGGTCATACTAATGAAGTTCATAATAAATCGTATGAATTGCCAGATGATGTGTATCAAACTGCTAAAATTTCAAAACTTCTAATACTTATGGAAGCTGGATGGATAGCTGGATTTAGATCCAAATGAAGAGTTGCAGGAAGAAGTTTGATTTACCCACACCACAATTGTCAGTTGCAAATTCTTGTGTACAACCTGGACTTTGGATTAAAAATAAAATATCTGAACCTAATCACCAGATGATGACAATAACAGATAAAAGAATTGAAAAAGCGAAAAAGAGAAACTTAGTACCCTGGTCTATGGAACAAAAGAAAGTTGTTACCAAATTTTTTAAAAGCCATATATAAAATAAAATACCTTCCAAAAGATTAGAATGCGAAACTTTTTAAGGACAATACCCAGAACTGTTACAAAATAAAGACTGGCTCAAAATGAAAGTTTTTATTCAAAATATGTATTCTAAAAAATAGGATAATTATCATTACATTGGTTTATTTGAAACAAACTTACTCCAAAAACTCGCTTATCGTTTAATATGACCTTTTATTTAAAATATCATAAAATAATTAAGATGTGCTTGTTAGTGTTCAATCCAAGTAATATTATTAATATGTATAAAGAAGAATTACATTTTTGTGTGGATAAAAATAAGTTTAATTTGATTTAGTACTATGTAATGGCTCTCATTACACATATGGAGGTTTCTTAGCTCTCATTGCTCGATGTGCGGGGTAATGAGAGCGAAAGGAAAATTTATAAAGGACGTGATTTTGACCAGCTAAGGGGAACTTTTTTGCATGTTTTGTTAGTAATACCTGAAAGACAGATAACTAAAAGACTGATTATTATCCAAAAAGGTAAATGTATGTAACTTGGCCACAGCTGAACATAGCCTCCCCCATAAGGGGTGGTTTTGTCAGTAGTTGTCATCCTTGGCAGGCGGGTTGGCAACCACAATTAGGCCTTTGGTGATATTTTAAGAGGGATGCTACGGCCCATCCTTCCACTATTAGCTCGCTAAGTCGTCTTTTACGACACCCACGGTAAAAAAAGGGGTGGCCCCTTCCTATTCTATATCGGAACCTACACGGTTAAAAATAAATTTATAGTAGCGCACTTTACCTGTATGCTCTCTCATCTTAATATTAAATTTATCACTCATAAAATTTTT